TATGAATGTTCTAGTTAGTAGATCAGTAGATGTGCTCGTTTTTTTTTCATTCATATTTCGTTTTCTATACTTGAAAGTTTTTGTTCTGTTATTAGAGGCTTTCGAAGATGAATTCTCAGGCGTATGGGTCACAAATAACATATGCATTAGAGTTAAAAATAATACTAATAACTTGTCATTAATTAATTCTAATACTACTATTAATCTGACATCTCTAATGTACAATGTGAAGATTTATGTTTCATTGCTTGTAATTAATAAAATGATTTATTGAACTTTGAGTTGGTGTATAGCTTTAAATTATATGACATTTGAATATCAAACGGTGAGAATGGATGATCTAGGCGAACATTTAATTAATGTTATTTAATTTATAATTGTTAATACAATTTAGCTAAAATACCTTTAGAAATTTCTAAATATACAATCCGCGATTTTATCATAAACTTAGAAATAGAATTATTTTCTTAAAAAATGCTGATTTTGTTGACAACGGGTTTGAACCGATAACTACCTACGGTTATCGTACTTGGACCGGTAACCGTACCTACAGTTACCGTAGTTGGACCGGTAACCGTACCTACGGTTAACCGGTGAATGATCGTCATCGTTGCATCCCTACATATAGTATATAAAATGACCATGTTTTCTCCTCATCTTGATCATGAGAACAGCAAACAATATTCGATCGCATCATTCTATCTGAGCTTTTACTAAAGAAATATAAGATAATCTAGTTTTTCTTGTTGATATTTCCAATTAATGTGTTTTCAATCAGTACAAGTATTACCCAAGAACGATTTCAATTTACCACAATGAAAGAATTATATGAAAGATAAATAAGCAGTTAGAAAGTAGAGATTTTCTAAAAATTGACTTTAGCTTTTCAAACGATAATGAATTCTATGACACAATCTGATTTATCTTAATTTGTCATGTTAAATTCATCTCTTCGAGAAGACAAAATATGTTGATGAGAAGAAATTCATTGAAAATTCAAATGAAAATATCTCTTCTATTGCATGTCAAAAAAAACTTCAAACCTCAATAACAAAATCTTCGAATTTAGAAATAACAAGCAAAAAATTTGAATAATAAAAATTTAACAAAAGAATTCTTCATACTGTTGCTTGAGACTATAGTAATTACAAATCATGTTAATAAAACTTGATATTTTGATCAATAATCTGAATTATATAGTAACAACAATACTATATACAAGAATAAATACAGAATTGAACAACACAAATCTAATTGTATTACTAAAAACTATAATATGAAACAAAAAAAAGGTTTTATTCGTTATTTGAAAATCAATTACCCTCCCTGTTATTAGAGAACATAGAACATTTGTTTTATTAACTCTTGTTGTTTATAATAATGTTATAATATAAAATAAAATAAGAACAAATTTCCATTGTTTATTTCCAGGAGTGTTCCGAGCGGAAGGTCATCCTTTCCTGCAATCTTGAGAAGCTTTCAATTTTCTCTAGTGAAGATGCAGCATTTTATTCGATTTTTTGCTCACCAATTCTCAAAAACCAGCTCCACTTCACTCACCCGAATCCAATCAGTTTTAACAAAAATCTTCTAATCACTTTCCTGAGTCATTGCTTATCCAATCCTGGCAACTTTGGGACACTCTTGAATATTTTCTTAATTAAACAAATGCAATTTAGTTGTTTAGAAAAATTAGAATAAAACATTTGCAAAACGTATTTTTAGTGGTTTTCCATTCAAGTAAATTTGATTGAAGATAAACAAATCAAATAGAATTATGTATAATAAACAATGAATCATATTTTTTATCGATTCTGATTGCTTATTTATTTGGCCATGATCGATCATTACTCTTTTTCTATCTCATTTGGTTTTTGTTTTCATTTGTTAATACACATTTCATATCATGTCAATATCGATATTCTACTTCATTTTATTCTATCAAGAAATTCTTTATGTTTTTGGTTGGGGACCAATTGGACATAGTCTTATTGCACGTCTTGCTCAAAGTCAATTAGATTCCTCTACTAATAGTTGGATTAATAATTATATACCATCAAATTTATCAGGTAATTTAAGTGCAATTGCATCATGGCCTGATGAAATAATTGATCTGAATAAGAATCCATTTGATTATAATAAGTGGCAATGGTCTCATGAATTACATTTTTTAACTATACCTGATTGGAATTGTAAATATATATCAAGAAGAGATTGTTTAAATAATAGATGTATTGAAGGTGCATTAAAGAATTATTCAGAAAGATTAATTGATAATAATTATGATTATATTCAACAACAACAAGCTCTTTTCTTTCTTGTTCATTTTGTTGGTGATGTTCATCAACCATTACATTGTGGTTTTAAAGGAGATTTCGGCGGACATAATGTCATAGGTAAGTCTACTTTATTTTTTGTTAAATTTAATTTAAAATTATCTTCTAGGTTTTTTTTTCAATAAAACAAATCCAATAAATCTTCATTATGTATGGGATAGTGAAATAATGAATATTCATATTAATCGTCATTTTCAATCAGATGTTAATCTTTATTATGAATATTTGAAATCTCTTATGTTTAATCAATATTTCTTAATAAATGAAACATATAATGATTATAAAAAATGGATTGATGAAAGTGTTAGTTATGTTTGTAAACAAGTTTATTTAGATGATAATAATATTAAACTTGATATTTCAAGAAATTTTGTATTAGGTGAAGAATATTTCAATCGAAATTGGCCTCTTATTGATCAACGTTTAGCACAAGCAGGTCGTCGACTTGCATCATTACTTAATCAATTATCTAAAAATCGATCATCAAAAAAACTTTCATCAGAAATTCAAACTCTTATTATTATTTTATGCATTGGATTAGCTATTGGTATTTTTGCTACTCTAGGTGTTTATTTATATAAACGAAAAAAGAATAGAGAATATGATGTTTTAACATCTGAATAATCATAATATACTTTGTTTAATAAATAAAATAAAACTTAAATATCATTTTTTTTTGTAAATTTAATTCAGAGTTTATAGTGATGTAATCTTTCGACATTCATCAATGTATTTGTAACAAATAGAAAATATAACAGGGATACATATATTATCGAAAAAGAATACGTGTATTGTTCGATGCAAATGCGTAATCATACGATGATCAAAACCATTGATTGTACAATGACTAAAGGGATACGTTTCTTTTCTTGCTTAAAAAAAACACAATCTTATTACAATAATACTTTTGTTCTATGTCTTTGATTGAGTTCATGAACAAAACATAGTGATTTTCTCTTATACCATATAAGTTACGACAGAACTATATAAGATATGAATCTATCTCTATATTTTATTTTAACATCTTGTAGCATATGTACAAGCTAATAAACAAGTTTGAAAGAAGAATACATGAAACGATCTTATTCAATTTATTAAGTAGTTGTATTGAGCTGGACTAATCTTTACTTTTATGAAAGAATAGAACTCATCTAATGTTCAAATAGCTCGAATTATATGATTTTATTGTAAAAATAAAATTCGAATAAACGTGCACGCATATTTATTAATCAATTTGAGTAAATCATTGCTTTTTCCTATGACATGTTTTTGAAATTATTCGATGTTTTCATGAATTTCAATTGATCTCTTTTTCATACACATATACAAGCTATTAAAGATATTAGAAAATGAAAAAATAGCTAAAAGCATTGCAAGAATTCTTCTTGATGAAAAATGTTTTAAGAAATTACATTCGAGATTGCAAATCATCAAGATTTGTTCCCACGAACATAATTATTTCAATAGAACAAAAAATGAAAAAGTTTCATTCGTTTTTGCATTTCACTTTCTTGATTATCCACACAGGTATTGATCAACATAACAATATCCAATGGATAATATTACTTTAAAAAAGAGAATCAAATGAATGAGACTAAATATAAAAATACGGAAAGCTAGTGTAGTATAAGATATAACAATGACATCCAGTGAATTTTCAATCTTAATTTTCTGACAATTTATTGTCAGAAAAATGAATTAGCTGTCACTTTTCCGATTGACGATGTATTTCAGCACAATTTATGTTCATTTTGATCGAGTCTATAACTATAGAAAGTTTTAGAGAGTCATCCTTTACTTTATGAGTCGAATTATAGACATAAAGTGATGGAAAAAAGTTTAGAAACAACAATTTTTTTTGATTCTTTCATAATGTTAAGCACATAGCTCCAATTCAAATAGTGATTTTAATAGCCAATGGAGTTTTCTATCCAATACACTATATAGTAAGTTTTCATAGATGAACAATGATGACAAGGCTCCTAGAAAACCGAACACTGTATTTTTCAGGTTCTAGAAGGCTTTGTCAAAGCTATTTTTAAGCGGTACTATCTTAAAGAACACAAAATTCTGTGCAAAATGAGGGATCACCGAATGTTCTACGAACTTCTCATAAAAAGTTACAAGTATCACAAAAATCATGAAAAACCGAAATTTTTTTAAAAATCGCTAAAAATGCCTTTTTCATGATTTTTGTGATACTTGTAACTTTCCATGAGAAGTTCGTCGAATATTCGGTGATCCCTCATTTTGCACAGAATTTTGTGCTCTTAAAGGTAGCACCGTTTAAAAATAGCTCTGGCAAAGCCTTCTAGAACTTGAAAAATACAGTGTTCGGTTTTTTAGGAGCCTTGCCATTATTGTTCATCTGTGAAATCTTACTATATAGTGTATTGGATAGGAAACTCCATTGGCTATTAAAATCACTATCTGAATTGGAGCTACGTGCTTAACATTATAAAAAAACGTTGTTTCTAGCCTTTTTTCCACCGCTTTAAGATAATAAGAACATTGTAAAAGACAATAACGATTCGTTTTGATTAAGTCTATCATTTTCTGTATCAACTTGTGTGCATATCGAACGAAACACGTATTCTTTCTTGATATGATCTCTTATCGAACATTCACATTGATGATTAAGATGAGAAAAAGAAAAAATATTGATCTTGAACATTTCAAACATAATATCTATCGATGATCTGTTACAATCGAATTAAAAATGAAAACAAAAAAATGTCTCTTTTTTATTTTGAATCAATACAGTGTATAGACTAAAATGCATTGATGTGTACATTATTTAGTAAAATAAAAACAAAATGATTGAATAAAACAAACATTTATTCAATTCAGATTTTAATTATTTGGATCATATGAATTTATATCTAGTCAAATTCCAGTTACAATTAAAATTTCAATTCTACCCAGGCAAATTCGAAATTTGATCATGTGCTAATTTAATCTCCGATACACACATATAGATGGATGATTTACAATATATCGGTATCGTTTGAGAAAAAATATATATAATAATCTGCTAAAATTTCAAAAAGTTTGTTTTTATTAAACGCGAGAACGATGAATTTCAAAATTGTAACAGAACTTCTGCGACACTCTTTATATTTTGTATTAGTTTAATGAGGCTAGAGAACATATGTGATTTCCACATTTTAGCGTCACGAGGGCTGCACTAATAAGCTTTTTGATTAATTCTCAAGTAACCTTGTCATTATGAATCACTTTACTCATAATATTATTTGTTGATCGTTCAATGCTATTCGTTAGACACTTGTTGCTAATGATATGAATGGAAATCGGCTGAAGTTATATGTGTTAACCTTTTACAGTCGGACGTATCCATTTGGATACATGAAGCCAATGTTTTACAAAGAAATAACTTGTAGTGATGATTTGAAATGTTTTGACGACTTGATAAATAAGTTAACACATTTCAACACACATTCACGTGTTTAGAAGAAGGAAATAACACTCACTAAGAAAATGACCGGCTCTATCCAAAATGCTCCAAAATAGCATCCGTATAGAGATAATCCTTTTCTCGTGTCTCTAAATAATCAAACTTCGAAGCAAGCAATTGTTAATTTTCCTTCATAGACCTACTGTCTATTGGATCACTAAGACGGATTATTTAAAAAATCCGAATAATAAAAAATGGGAATGTATCCATTTGGATACATCCGGCCACTAAGGGACAAAAGTTTTGAAAAAGTCATTTCTTTTTGTCCAGCAAAATTTGATATTTTATGGTTTTTCTTACATCTATATTTATAGATGAAATCACACGTTGCCTGTTTGTCGATGTTTTGCAGTCCAAAGCTTAAATATTTCTAGAATGTTCTAAGATTCTGCAGTATAGTGCAAGAGTAGCTCAATTTTTTCCGAAATTTTTTAGAAATTCAGAAACATTCTAAAGAGTTTTTGAACATTTTCTAGTGTTCCAAACTAGGCTATCACGAAATATTCAGCAACTCTCTACAATATTCCTGAATTTATAGAAATTTTCGGAAATAATTGAGCTACTATTGCACTATACTGCAAAATCTTAGAACATTCTAGAAATATTTAAGCTTTGGACTGCAAAACATCGACAAACAGACAACGTGTGATTTCATCTACAAATATAGATGTAAGAAAAACCATAAAATATCAAATTTTGCTGGACAAAAAGAAATGACTTTTTCAAAACTTTTGTCCCTTAGTGGCCGGATGTATCCAAATGGATAAATGAAGCTATTAGATGCCGAAGCACTTATTGGTTCTGAGAAATAAACTTTTCCTATCTCCATGGTCTAGGAGCAACGAAAATCCATCAAAAAAGACTTTTTTGTTACTTGTCTTCTAGTAGCCGGCTGGAAAGTAGAGTACTGCAACCCGACCCGACCCGACCCGAACCCGCACCCGCGGACGGGTGCGGGTTCAACCCTATCGGGTCGGGTCGGGTGCGGGTTCAATCCTGTCGGGTCGGGTGCGGGTTCAATCCTGTCGGGTCGGGTCGGGCACGGGTTCGATTAGCTGCGGGTCGGGTCGGGTGCGGGTTTGATGTTGAAAATTTCGGATTTTTTTCGGGTTACATTTTTTTCGCGATAGATGCCTCTGCCCTCTATTATTGTATACGTTAAATACAAAGAACAATGAAATATAATTCTGTTGGTTTATGACTACAAACAATAGATACACATATATACACGTATATGGATGTGAGCTTTCTTTGTATTTATAAACAACTAATACTTTGTTATAGTCATACTCTCGTTATTATTTTTATCTTTTTCAAATGGATCCAAAAGAAAAGATTCGGAAATTGCTTCAAAGTGGTGAATATACGTTATGTGATAAACCACAATCAAATGCTATTTGGTGGAACAATTTTTTGTTATTTTTTGTGGTTAACATTGAAATAAAGTTGTTTATCTTTTGGAAATAAGCGAATTTAGTTTCTCGGGTCGGGTCGGGTTCGGGTTCGACTATCGGCGGGTCGGGTCGGGCTCGGGTTGAATCTTGTCGGGTCGGGTCGGGCTCGGGTTGAACCTTGTCGGGTCGGGTCGGGCTCGGGTAGAACCTTGTCGGGTCGGGTCGGGTCGGGCTCGGGTAGAACCTTGTCGGGTCGGGTCGGGTCGGGCTCGGGTCCCACTAGAGGCCTTCGGGTCGGGTGCGGGTGCTAAAAGTCAAACCCGCGCAGTACTCTACTGGAAAGGGTTAAGGGTAACTATTCTGCATTGTTTAGTGCACTCTAATCGATAGAACGTAATAGTCAATTCAATTTGTATGTCACAAATTCAAATAATTATAGAATACAAAATTTTCTTCAATACTGAAAACTATAGTTTTACTATTTGTTTGATTTATTTTCAATAAAATAAAACATCTACAATCTTCTTGGGTGGTAAATAAAAATGAAATAATATACATACATTCTTTCATTCTCATTAATTTCAGCATCGAAATTTTGCAATATACTATGTAAACATATGAAACCATCTTATAATACATTTTATGTCTTTCTTATACGTGACAAATAAAAAAATATTCAATTTTTTTTTTCATTCTTATATTTCAATTTAATCTTTAACTCAGTGCAAAAAAATTCATATTTACTCGATCACTGGAAGAAATAAGGAATATAATAACGTAGTGTCCATTGTTTAAAAAAAAATGGATAAAATAAGGAGAAGTAGACATTAGTTCAAAAAACAAAATATGTCTTTTTATTAGGAAATAATAAATATTTTAGGTAATACATTATCAGCTCAGACAAATGTTATAAAAGTATCACGTCTCCATCGTCAACAATCATTTAAACATAAAGTAGATACAATTTCTTTTTTCAATTACGATTCAATATACCTTTATCTAGCATTATCATCATCAATCAAAATTAAAAACACAATCGAAAAGTGCTATTCATGTTAATATGCGATCAACAAATAATAGATCTACTAATTTTCATAGAATTTTACATTCGGTTCGATATATTTTTGATTTCTCTATTATTTTATTTCATAATGTAATTTAATTACCAGACACCTGTTCCTGATGACAAAACATATTGTTATCGAGATTATACACAACAATCAAGAAATAATCTAACATCTCAACAAAATTCAGAAAATACTCTAAATTCTGTAAGTATAACAAAATTTTCTTCTTTATTAAATCTTATTTCTTTTGTGATAATCAAGAGAATTAAAATTCTTGTTTTTCATCATTTTTTCTTTATAGTCAAATTCATATTTTATCAAAGTTAATGATTCAATAAAAAATGTTCAACAAAACATGAATTCATCTATAAATTCCGATCATCTACAGAATCATTCTCAGTCAATAATTATAAAAACTAAGAAATATCGATCAAGTTCATCGAAAGTTACTTCTTATAATGTTAGTATATATTTATTTTTATATAGAATATCAATGATAATAATCATTTTAATAGTATCAAAATAAACTATTTAATTATTTTTCTTTATGAATAGACAAGCAGTGCTTCTCCAGATCGATTTGGAATTATTAATGATCATCATCGAAATAAGAAAAGAAATAAAAAGAAAATGTAAGATTTTCTTTTCTTTTTTGTCAATTAGTATATATATTTATATTTCTTATCAATGTTTATTGCAGATGTTCACGTCGATGTGTGATTATATCAATTTTTGCTGCTTTAATGCTTACAATCATTATTACTATAATTCTACTTGTTCTGCTAACAAATTCCAAAACAACAACAACAACCTGTAAGATAGAATCTATTGTTTGCATGAATAAATTTACAGAAGAAGAATCTCGAAAACATATTATTTTTAATGAAAGCATGGATTCATTGGTTTTTTTTAGTACACAGATTGACTATTATCCTTAAGGCTTCCCCCCCCCCCCCCTCCAAAATCGATTTTCAACATGGTGCATGGAATCTTCATGAAACTTTCTACAGATGCTCGAGCCATAAAGGTACAAGTGTAAAAAAATTTTCATGGCTCTAGCCCTTTCCGTTCGGGAGATATACAGGTACCAAGGTGCAAAATGGGGGTCCCACGCGTACAAGGATTTTTTCAATACACTTTGAGATGGAGCGCTCGGGCTGGTCTCATTTGAAAGAGAACTCCTTGGTGCTTCAGATGAGGGAAAGGGTTTTTTTAATTTTGATTTTTTTTCTTTGGTGGGATCTACAAAACTTTGAAGTTCTGAAAACTCTATGTAGGATTTTTCATAAAATACCTGATTGCTCATAGATTGAGAGTCAAATAAAAAATTCCTTCTCGTCATCTGAAGAAGGATATATCTATCGATCAAATAAAAAAAACCACAGTTTAATAGAATAAGCTATAGTGAAGAAAAATTTGTTCAGAGATTGATATTTTTCAAAAAACTCGGTTTTGAGAAAAACGAAGATGACGAAAGTGATGGTTATTTATATAGTATTATGTCGAGCGATGAAGACGCATACGAACCAGGTGGTGATGATTTAGATTGAACTTTTATCCGCTTTTTATCGTGTTTGTTTTGGAATAAAATGAATATATAATGAAAAAAATCAACTAGTCATTTTTTTTGGGTCTATACAAGTAATAATAGTTCCAACTAACTTAAGTTTTTTTACAAAAATCCCACAAAAAACTTATAGATTCAATAATATCTTTACGGATTTGTAAAGTAGACAACTCAAGCATCATGCCCATGTGTTTATCTCAAAATCCATTTTTTTGACGAAAATCGACTTTTTGGAGGGGGGGGGAGCCTTAAAAACAATTTTTTTGTGTCGTTTGAACGATACAAAATGTTTCGTTTCTATTTTAATTTTTAGTTTCGACAGTTTTACTTCGTTGGAATCAAACAGGTATTACTGTTGCAGGCGGAACAGTAGGAAAGGCCAATAATCAACTCAACATTCCTTTGGATGTGACAGTAGATTATAAAAATACACTGTACATTGCAGATTATGGTAATCATCGAATTCAAAAAATTTTGATGGGTACTTTAAATGGTACAACAATATGTGGAAATGGATCAAGTGGTTCATCTTTATATCAGTTATCATATCCTGCACAGGTATTGGTTGATTTAAATGGAAATATTCGTGTGGTAGATTACGGAAATAATCGAGTTCTATTTTATAATGGTACATCGACAGGAATCATCATTGCAAGTGCCGGTAAGTTAGAATGATAAATGGTGATTTTTTTTCTTTTTATCAACTAACTAATTCATGAAATTTATTTACCTTCGATATGATGTTAAGAACGTTATTCTAGAAGATTTGTAGTCTAGGGAATTTTTTTTCCATAATTGATAATTGTTATGTAATTCCCTTTTTTTTTTAATCTTCTAACATAATAAAAGTTTGTCTACTCTTAGCTACCATTAGGATTAGATTAGAGTTCAAAATCGAATTAAAAGTCTTCCATTCAAAATTAGCCATTGTTACTTCAGACTATGTTCAGTGTATCTTCTTACATCAGTTCGCAGTATCCAAAGATGCCTTTTCGATTGTTTATTGTAAAGAGTTATTTAAATATTAGAGTTTTACACCATTGGAATAATCTATATATTAAAAAACACCCTACTATATTTGATTTGAAACTATTCATTCTGACTACATCTGATATCCGCTTACAAGATGAAAGATGTAAAATTATGAAAACTATTTTGAGCAACTTATTTCGATAGCAAAGAGATAAATTCGTTAGCTCTTATCATGTCAATCTCATCACATCATACAGTACAAAACATGATTAATTTTGTGAATAGTTTCTCAAAGTTATATTTATATACTAGAATACTTCATAAAAAAGTTTATTTTAGGTGGTTATGGTACTTTAAACAATCAATCAAAGAACCCTTATGGTATTGAATATGATTCAGCTTCTGATACACTTTACATAGCAGACTATAACAATCATAGAGTTATGTGCTATGTATCGGGAGCATCATCAGGTTTTTCGGTTGCTGGTAACAGTATATCGGGAACTAGTACTACACAACTAAAAAACCCTGTTCGTGTTTATTTTGATTCATTCTCAAATAGTCTTATCATTGTCAATCATTATGCTCATAATGTTGTTCGTTGGCCATTAGGTGCCACTAATTGGACGTTGCTCGCTGGTGATATTAATGGAAATCTAGGAAATAATGCAACTACATTGAATCGTCCAACTGATGTGACTTTGGATCCAATGGGTAATATGTATGTTGCTGATAGAGAAAATCATCGAATACAATTCGTTATGAATGGACAAACAGAAGGAATAACAATTGTTGGAGTAACAGGTACTAATGGTAGTGATTCTACTTTGCTCAATAGGCCTTGGTCAGTAGAGCTTGATAGTCAACTCAATTTATATGTTGCAGATTCAAATAATCATAGAATACAAAAGTTTTTACGATATTGAAAAGAATTTGATTGATAAACATTACATTAAACCAGCAGTGAATGTATTTGTCTTTTTGTTCATTTCCTCTAATTAAATGACATATATTATTTTTTCCTAAAAAATTTAATTTAGATAATGCCATTTGAAAACATCTAAATACAAAGTGATATGTTTGAATAATATGAAACTGGGACAGTTATTCATATTTTTCACCATAACTGAGGCACATATTATTATTTACAAATGCATATAGTATATAAAAATGACTATGTT